TATGCACGTTACACATGGGGAAAACCACGAAAACGCCCATGCAGCCAGCCCGTTCGCGGGATTCGAACCTCGGACCGAGCTACCAGTGTTCAGCGACCTTACCGCGCGGCCGTGCGTGGCCCCATATGTTAATGCATTTACTTATTTTTAGTTTCTACATTTTAGAATAGTGTTAGGTTACAATGATTATTTCATGCACTTTTTATAGTCAATAACTTTCCTTTTTATTATTATACAGAAATAATTGAAATAATATAGTACACTATAGTAAGCTAAGTACGTTAAAGTAAGCTCTTCGTTAAATAGCACGCGATGAAACTTTTTGTTTCTATTTATTATGAATTGATTCTGATTAATGCAAAAAATTTAAAACTGGATCTGATAAATAATTAATAATAATTTCTATGCATCAAAAGTTTTTAAAGTTGTTATATTTTTTTAAATAATTCGGAGGCCCACCAGCGGCCGAGCGGTAAAGTCGCTGAACACTGGTAGTTCGGTCCGAGGTTCGAATCCCGCGAACGGGCTGGCTGCATGGGCGTTTTCGTGGTTTTCCCCATGTGTAACGTGTATACGAGCCAGTTTCCCTTAGAAAGTCCTCCACGAAGGCATCCCTCCCCTTAGGCAGATAGCCTTCGAGGCTTTGCCATAATCACACACACACACACACTTAAATAATTCGGCGACGTTGGGGGGTGCCCGAGTGCCGGCCTACGCGTTTTCTGCACCTGTATTTTCTACAGAAAAACTCTATGTTTAAATTAAAGGAATTCGAAAGATTAATGCTTGAAAGCAAGAACAAGTTACATAAATTACTGAGAGGAAAAAAATACTGAACTGTGTCTTTACAAAATAGTTTATTGCAGCAACGTTATCATACAATAAAAAAAATGAAAATAATGAAGAGCGCAAAGTTGAAAAATTAAAAGGAATTTCTAAAGTCTTTTATCTAGTGACTTCAGACATGAATGAAGTAACAGGCTCATGAAGAAGATAAAAGGATGCAGGCAATTTAGATTCATAGTGAAACATGAAATAAAAATAAATGATTTGCTGGATAGATCTACAACGCGAAATTTTGCTCCTTATTAAAATTCTCAAAAATAATCTAGTACCTAATCAGTTTATTAATCATTGTCTTAAAAGAAGCAGGCGTTAAATACTTACTCTAAATCATTTAACTGATAGGGATATGAGGGGGGTGTGTGTGTGATTATGGCAAAGCCTCGAGGGCTATCTGCCTAAGGGGAGGGATGCCTTCGTGGAGGACTTTTTAAGGGAAACTGGCTCGTATACATGGGGAAAACCACGAAAACGCCCATGCAGCCAGCCCGTTCGCGGGATTTGAACCTCGGACCGAACTACCAGTGTTTAGCGACTTTACCGCTCGGCCGCTGGTGGGCCTGATAGGGATATGATAATTTCTTTCTAAACCTGAGCGGGCGGTGTAAGTTGGATGATATCAGTTGGAGGATTTGCACATAGCATAATTACAAAGTTGTATATAATGTATGAAAAGCTAGTTGTTATCAGACTTTTCTTATGCTGTTACTAAAAAAAATGAGCCTATTTCATAATCTTTAGTCTATCAAATAGCTCGCACCCAGTGAAAATTACTTTTTTCCTTTTTCTTAATTTCTTCCTCGTTCCGACACGACAATTAGCCAGAAATCAATTAATTTCCATTCACTAGTTAGTATATTCAGAATTTTAACAGACGTTTTGCCTCACATAACAACTCCGCAATAAACGTCCCTCAAGCATTCCTAGTTCCTCCCATGTCCCATAAATTACTTCCTACAAGTTTCGCCGCCTGACCTAATTCAAAGCCCCCGCTGCCGATAACGGAATTTCGGACACACACCCCTTCTGAGTAAGACACCGAAGAGACATCCCACTAGGAAGAACGTTTATTTATCGACATCCCACTAGAAAGAACGTAAGTTAATTAATGCATTTTCTGGCCTTTTATATCTTCATGTACATTTCACTTTTTCTCTTATTATATACATATTCATTTTTCAATTCTTATTATTTGATTTGTTTTTGCAAAGATAGCATTATATTTCTTAATTTTCTAATGTTTATTTCAATTACTTTGAATTCTATTTCGTAATTCCAATTAAGATTACCACTGTTTAATTTTTATACAAATAGTTTTGAATTAACATGCATAAAAGCGAAGGTGTCGGGGAACATTTACTCAAATATTTCATCAATTTTACTACATAAATTGCTTTTCACTCAAAATTTGTATTAGCGAAACTGCTTGATTCAAAATGAGTTCTTTGGTACTCTAACTTTGGTTCTAAATCCCATCACTTCACGGGACTACTTGGCCTAACTGAATTTGCCAGTTTGGCATAACCATTCTTACTTGAGTAAAAGACGAAACACCTTCGTATTTATTAATTATTGTTCATTGAACGGGAGTTGGTTTGTTCTCCTTAAAAAGTCAACTAATTTCCGATCAATAGCGATAATTACTTGCTTTTAGTTTAATTTCTTTTTCAAAGTTTGAAATTTTGTTATTCATGATTTAATTCAAGTCCTCGTAAAACATTTTTAATAATTTACATTCAAGTTACTTTAAAACAGAATTTTCGGAAATAAATTTCCTACATACGGGTTCACTCTTTTTAGATACTTCTACTAAATTTATATTAGGAGATAATATAATCAATATTTCTTTAGTAATGGGATGGGATTTTTCGATTATGGCAAAGCACACGAGAGCTATCTGCCTAAAGAGAGGGATGCCTTCGTAGAGGACTTTCTAAGGAAAACTGACTCGTATACACGTTACACATGGGGAAAACCACGAAAACGCCCACGTAGCCAGCCCGTTCGCGGGATTCGAACCTCGGACAGAACTACCAGTGTTCAGCGTCTTTACCGCTCGGCCGCTGGTGGGCCTACTTCTTTAGTGAATAAATTCAAGTCCCCGTAAAACATTTTTAACAATTTACATTCAAGTTACTTTAAAACAATTTTCGGAATTAAACTTCCTCCATACTCACTGTTATAAGATGCTTCTACTAAAATTAATATTAGGCGATAATATAATCAATATTTCTTTAGAAAATAAATTATATATATGTGTGTGTGTGTGTGCGTGCATTTTTTATCCGTGTTTAGTTTTAATTTTAACTTTATTAATATTCACTAAAATTAAATCGCAGCAGCAATTTGACAATTTGCGCAGGATATGTTTTTTAAGTCTTACGTATGTATATGTATGTATAATCAAAAAAGAAAGAAATTATACAGAATTAATATCATTAGATAATGGTATTAATAATAATTATTAATTAATTTCTCCACTTACTGATCTATCTATCCATGTGTCATACATAAGGTATTCGTTAAATTTCAACCAACTTACGCTGAAGAGTTTTATATTTGTTCTTATCTCTTTTTCTCTGCGGCATTTATGATGTTTACTAATTGCGGTATTTATCTCTCTTCTTGTTTTTGTTCTAACGCATTTCGTTTGGTTTAATGAAGTACAGCAAAGCTCTCTAAGGCTATGTGCGACAGAGGCAGAGATTGACTTCACGGAGGTATTTCTTAAATTTTAGGCTTGATTTAAGCAAAGGCAAAGCGTTGCCCGGTACGCTGTTTGTAGAGAACGTCGAAATGCTCTCTTAGATACCGTTATTATTGCATTCAAATTCATCTAATAATCATTTCAGATGCTTTAACATTCATCATGCTTATACAGATGATTTTTCATGTTTATACATGTTTATGAGGTTCATTCATCATGATTATCATAATCGTTTTTTTTTCTTCAGCCGTGCAAAATGCCGAAATAGTTTTTTCCACGAAAGAAAGAAACTGCATTTTCTAATTTCTTATCTATTCACATAATTAATTGTTAAATATTCAAGTAATTCAGTCTTTTGTCTGATTTAATTAATTAAGGTTAGTAATAAAATCAATAAGAATGCCTTGGGTTCTTTTCTTTTTTTTTTTGTCCCTCTAGTTTTCTCTTCACAGCTCCTTTTTATAAACGTATTAGCTTATAATATAAAATTAGCTAAGTAACAACCTTATATTTGGCGTAGATTTAGTTGCTCCTGATGAGGAGGGAACTGTACCTTTTTGCCCTCGAAATCGATTGAGGTCTTGACTAAATCTACGGCGATCATAATTTTATGTTTCACTTTGGCGTATTTCTCTTCTGTTTTATATTAGCTTATAATTTGTATGTCATAAAATCAACTGAAATCATAAAAAAAGGAAGAAAAAAAAAAAACGCGTAGAAAAATATGTTTTCTTTTTCATTTGTTTGTTTAAATAACTTTAAATGAAAAAAAAGCTGAATTATTATTTTACTTCATGAAATAATTTATGTAATTTGCTTCAATGATACCTACTACGTTGAAAAATTACATGAGAGGAAGTAAGTTTTAAGCAGTTTCGTCTCGGGCCTCCGATATCTAAAATCAGTCCCTGTAGAAAATAGCTCGTATTTACGTTACACATAGGGAAAAAATATTTGCTGTTATAACTCAGACAGCCTATTTTTTCCCGGATACGAACCCGGAACGAAACTACCTGTATTTCTCGGCTTTAATCACTCAGTCAGTCAGCCTTTATTAATCCTGACATTACTGAATTTGTAATATACTAGTAGCTCAGTCTGTTCTATTACAGGAAAGTAAAAAAAAAAAAAAAAAAAAAAAAAAAAAATATAAAGTAAAGACATTGATTAGATAATTATGATAGCATACTAATGAGTCCTTGCCCGTGGAGATATGTTTTCGTAGAGGACATACTAAATAAAATTGGCGCGTAATTACTTCGCACGCAGAGAAACATCTCTTACACTGAGAGAGAAAACCCATTTGTCATTTCTTTGTGGAGGGAAGTACAGTCTTAGAGTCTGCTCTCTTAAATGTCATTCATGTAGTTCCAACACCGCGCTAAATTAAAAAAAAAAAAAAAAAAAAAAAAAAAAAAAAAAAAAAAAAAAAGTACGCTTATTCTAGATAAAATCTTAAATACAATAATTATCCTATTTATTTGTGAATATTGCTTTCTACGTCAACTCCTCATTCATCGATACATTACGAACATGAAACGAGCGATTCTTCTTTACAAAAGTAGTCAGCGAAATGAACACGAAACCGCTGCTCTCTGCTGTCTACATCCCAAATATCTAGAACGCCTCCGACCTCTATGACTGAAAACTTCTTGAGTTAGTTCCCGTATCAGATAGCAAAGCGCAAAGCTTCTTGGGAGGTTGGAAAACCTCAGTCTCAGGAGAACATCATGGCACGAGTGGAACTGATTGTTGTGTTATTATTATTAACACCATTTTTAAGTTATTGTAAAAAAAAACAGTCTGGATCAAGTGATGTGATAGAAGAAGTGGACCGAAAGAAACTCGAAAAACTGATCAATAACGAGGAATATTTAGCAGTGTTTTTTTGTAAGTGTACTTTTGAAACGGAAACTTTGGGATCGCTGATTTTCTATTGCTTTAGGGTTCGGATTTGAGTAACCCGGGAGCTATTCCGGTGCGCTACCTAAGAATTGTGGGATTAAATTTGTTCCACTGGCTTTCCATTTTAGGCCCGGAGATGGTGTGTAGTTACGTAATTTTGATTAGCCGTAATCGTTTCTTATATGGAATGTACAGTAAATTAACTGTTAGTGCGCAAATCTAAAAATTTTAATATTTCAGTGAATTTCATTTATATTTGAGCAATGTTTATTGAAATTATTTAAGTGGAAAATTGTTAAGTGGTATGTTTAAAGTATTCTTGCATCCTCTCCTTTCTAAAAAGTTACACTATATTTTTGTAATATATCTAAAATTTTTTATGTATTTGTAATCATTTCCTAAGTTTGTAAACTAATTGAACTAATATAAATATTAGTAGCTGTAATAATTGAAAAACTGAGTTAAAATTGCATTTATATTTTGGGTTTTTGTTTTATCACAGGCGCTTGATTTTCCTTCAACCCATGAATAATTTAGGAATCAGCCGAGGAATTTTATGCGAAAGTTAATTTAGTTAAGTTTTCGTTCTACATTTTATCCTCCTGAAACTTAAGGGGGGAGGGGGAATGTTGGTTTCTTTTAGAATCTTTTAAAAAGAGTGACATTTCCGAGAAAAGAATGCTGTATTCTCTCTCTAAGTTCATTTGCATTATTTACATTATTTCTTTTTAATGCCGTATGAAATCATTAAAGCTTTTTATTATGTGTATTATCAAAATTTACATTGTCCTTAAAAAACTGAAGGATATATTTGCAATCATAATGAAACTGTGGTAAGTTATGTATAAAATTATCAAATTCTGTATATATTTTTAAAGTTTTGATGTAAGTATTTATTATCTATGAGCAAGGAATAAGTATGCAATTACATGAAGCAGTTACACTAGTAAATAAATACTTGTAATGAAATTTCTACATAATTATATGTATTACTGACAAAAGCTCTAATTTGGAAATTTTCGTATGTGAATATATACCCTTGTATGAAGGAAGTAATTTTCTGTCAAGAAGTCAGTTATAAATGCACCAGATGTGTATTTAGCATCCCTCCCCCAATACATTGATTTTCTTTGTTGAGAAGAGTGTTACTGCTTATTAATATGCATATGTCAGATAATGAACACTGTTCATGTACATTTCTTTTATGTATTAAGTCTCTTTCAAAAACAGAACAATTATATTTAGAATTTATCATAATTTCACTGAGTATTAAATCAGTAAATTATTAGTTTTTACAGAGAAAGGTTTTTCTATTAGTTATTCAGTCTGGAAGAATTTAACATGCATCATGTTTATTTCAAGCATGAGATATCATGCATTCTTGAAATATTTTGTATAGAATTCATTATAATTATTAAAAAAAATTTTTTTACAGACTCATAAACAAAATATTCATGGGCAAAAAGTATAGAGTTAAAATGCAGACTTTTCTCCTGATTTATGAAAAAAAAATAAAAAGCAATAAATATATTTGTTTCTATACCAAGACTAATTAAATAAAACATTTCAAGAGTAAAAAGTTTGATGAGGAATGTAATAAAGTTATATATGTTAATATATATAATATGTATAATAAAATCACTGATGTATTTTTACATAAACTTTTTATACATTTTACTTTAGGAAAATTATGAATAAATTGTCAAAAATTAGGGAATAAAATATCATTTCTTAAAATCATAAAATTGCTCTTCATTTTTATGGTTTAGTAAAATAATTAAGAATGCTTTTTCCTTTCACTGAGGCATAAAAAGTAATATTATGATTGCTCTAGTATATGTGATATAGTAAATAGTGTGAAAAGTATAATTTTTTAATTAATTATAAAAAGAAGTGAAACATTAAAGATTCATCTGCTATACATTATATTGATTTTTACATTATATGAATTGTTAAGTTAGTACTGAATATTTTATGAGCTTAATGTGTTATGTGCCCCTTTATCATGCATGAACCATTATTCAGCTTTTATTGATGATGCATAATAATGTAGCTTTTCTGCAATACATATACTGTTAAGCTAGAACTGACTGCTTCATGTGAGGAATTGTGTGTCCACGTTATCTATTTCATACTGTTTCATATGATGAATGTGTGTGCCACATAATATAAACTAAATACATCATCTTTTATATTTTTTAATTTATAATGCATTTAATGACCTTCCTCATCATTTCTTTCTTTTACTTTCTCTCTTTCTTACTTTAATAAGTATATCCTGTTTATGAGAATTGCCCATTGATCTACAAAATGCCCAATTTACTGCATATGTAGCAATCATCATTGAAATCTAACGAATTTTCTAATATTTTCAGTGGTGATCTATGAAAATTTTATGTTTATGAGTCCTGACTTTATCTCATAAAAACAAAATCTGAATTTCTGATTAAATATACTTTTTACAAAAGTAAAAAATAAAAATTATTGGGCAAAATAAAAATAAAAATAAAAAAAAAAATACTTTGGAAACAATCTTTCAAATTAAAAATTTTTAAGAATGACAAAATATTGGATATTACATAAAATAGCAAGTAAATTTAATTACGTGCACAATTTATACCAGAAGCTGCTACATGTTATTTTCTTCTTTTACCCCCATCTTGCCTTTAAGGCCAAGTAATGATAGGTAAGTTTTAAGGCCAAGTAATGATTTTTTGAAAATATTTTTGCATAAAGCTTAGGATTAAGTTCTGATATAGATTTTCCATTTAAGAAGATTATCAGTAAATCTGAAATATGTTGAAGAAGAATGTTGTGGAAATATTGTTTGATAAGCTAAATACTCATTCAGCTTTAGCACTTAATAGTGATAATCTCCATATTGACTTTTAACTTGACACTATGAGATATTTCCTCTTAAAGCTATCTCAGCAAAATCCCCATAATAGTTAATTTTTATTTCATGTTCTAACATAAAATTTAGGATTTGTCAAAGTATAATTATGACATGCAAGACATATTTTCCTTGGAATAAGTAAACAAGCAAGCAAAACAACTGCAAATTCAACATAAATTTAACAAATCGCCCTCTTCCCCAAGAGCCTTCACAGCTCACTACTGAATAATTTATATAAATAATTTTAGTTTACACCTGGTAGATTTTAACTGAGTCAGTAAATATCTGTATATTATACATATTCATCTATGTTTTTTGAGACGTTGCTTCATTTATTGCATGAAAATAATCCTTGGTAGAAGCTATAAAACAACAAGTTTCATAAGTGATCTGCAGCTTAATATCACAGACATCAAAACATAAAGTGATTCTTAAGGAGAGGAAATTTAATCAAGCTAGTGGTTAACATTAGATATGGGTTATGAAAGATATTAAAAGATAATTACAGCATCGGAAAAAACCTATTCTGCTAAGTTTTATAAAGACAAGAACTGAAAGCTCATTACAGTTTCTTACTTTCACTGTTACAATTATATATTCATTTTTAATGATACTGAGATTAATAAAATTCAGTTATTTTCTGACTAATATTGCTTCATATATATCTAAAGATATCACAAAGTTTTAAAGAAATCAAAAATCATAACAGCAAATTTAAATTATGTGATATTTTAATCTTAATTGAAAATGTATGACCTATATTTTTGGCTCAGGCAAAATTTTCTCAAAAATATTTTAAAAAAAATAAATTCAAAATTAAGGGTCATAGCATTTTTAGTTAATTAATATGTATGTATGAAGGAAGAATAAGGAAATATAACCATTGCAGTTTTGTAAGTATAATAATATTTGCTTCTAACTTTTATATATTTTACTTCAGCCCTTATTTTTATAACCACTTTGAGTTGGTCTGATACTGGCCATAGTAATTTTATTCTTATTACTGATAACAGTTCTATCTATCTTAATAATTTATAACTGATTTTTTTTTTAGAAATGATTTTACATGTTCTTATTCATATTACTTAATATGATTGTGTGCTCATTTGGACACAAATTGGCCATTTGTGAGGCCTTTTTTAATTTTTTGAAGCACAAATAAGAGAATCTATAATCATACTATTTCTGGTGTGTTTTTCTGATTACAACCGTGTTGAAATTTTTAAGTATTTGATCTCAGCTTATTTGCACTGATTGTTGAATCTTTTTAGGACCACTTAGTGTACACTGTCATACAACATCGCACAAAAGTAGACTGTGTACAGTATTTAACTACTAAAACTAAATTAGTAAATTCTTTCTGTCTGATTCTGAATTAACCTTTATCCAAGCCATTTGTCTTCTGTCAGGAGTCAAATAAGATGAATTTACTTTCATCACTTTAAATCACTTTTTCTCAGAAACCAGGACTTTCTTTTACTGATCTTGAAGCAAATTTTAAATCTGTCTTGCCACTTATTCCCACCTTATATCTGGTTTCTTTCAGTTGCTTCAGCAATTTAATCTATGTAGCTAATGTGCTGTTCGGTTTTTGTCATCGGATAAATTTTTTTCATTCTAGAACCTCTGAAAGAAATTTTTTCTGCCTCTGAAAGAAATTTTTTTTACAAGTTTACTTTCATTGCAAGTGTATGCTTTTGTTGATCATGTCTATACAAGTGTATGCTGTTTCTGCAATCTTCTTTTACCTGATTTAAATATATCTTAGCATATATCCTTCTGAATTCCATTTTGAGCTGCCTGATTTCTCTATGTAATGTTTTATTATTATTTGCTATTGTAATAAAGGTTTTCGAACCCAGCTACTTAATCTGTGACTAATGAGTAAGCTATCTAAACTTTCACATTTTAAAATCTAATACATAACGTTACAGTATCAGCGACAAAAATAATTTTAAGGTAATTTATATAAGTTATTTTTGCAGTTAAAAGTTATTCAGTGTTTCTTTATGAAAGAAACTATTTCTTTTCTGTATGAAAGATATTGTGCTACTCATTTTGCATGTTTCCTGTTTTATAACACCTGTTTTGAAAATAAATAAATAAAAATATTATTTTTGAAAATTAATTTTGAATAAAGTGGTTGAGTAAGTAAAAATTTAGTTGTTCCTAGTGTTATGTTAGTTAGTCGTTCCTAATTACCTTTATTGAAGAATTTAGGGAGACATAATACACATGTATAATAATTAAAGATATTGTAGGACCTGTGCTGAAATGTACTGCAGAAATGTTTTAATTACTAACTGTAGTAGAAATGTAGTTCTTATTGAATTATAATTAACACTAGTAAATTTATGAACTAATTAGAAATTAATCAGTTTAATATTTTTTATAAATTCATACCTTACTTTAAATCATATACCTTAAAATTTATAATAACTTAATTTATCTTGGTTTAAAATTGTAAAAAACTGATCATCAATTCTTAATAGTGTTTACACCTCCAGAATTTTCATTTGCATTCACTGTGCATGAAAATAAGTTCAATAGCTATTTATTTGCATTTAGTTTTTCCTTGCTTTTTTTAGCAGGCTGCTAAATATATATTTCACAATTTTTTTACTTTTCAAATTTAGTTTTTCTCTAATATTTAGCATCCTCTTATTTATTATTATCTTACTATTTTATCCTTAATATTTAGCATTGTGTTGGTTTATCTGTTTTTATTTGCATTAGTTTATCTGTTTATTATCTTAATATTTAACTTCTTTTAGCAGGATGCTAAATATTCAAAATTTTACTAATTTTTATCGATGTATACTTGTCAGTTATTCACAGTGTTTTTATATATTCTACAAAGCCTGTGTGTGTACTATTATAAATGAGATAAATGATTTAGTAAGGTAGATGGTAATAAAAATTTCTATTTTTTTACTTGTGAATGGTGCGTGGTTCGTTATAATTTTTTTTTCCTTGTGAATCTAAAGGGCTTATAAGGGCTTTTTATTTATTTTACATTTATTTAGAAAGTAATTGCTGTGTGTTTAATTTTGGCATTTTCCATTTTTAGGACACATAAATTAATTTTAAAAGCTATTATAAAACAGTGGAGCAATTATAAACATGATTCATAAATTTATAAATAAAATGTAGATGCCATGACCGAATCAGATAACATAATTAACACTAAATTGGATTTTTGGATTGGAGAAAAATTGGATCTTTTCTAGTGTAACATAACATGATGATAAATTTTTCTGAACATAAAAAATAAATGAATAAAAAGTCTGTTAAGCTTAATATTTTAATAAACAAAGACCTAATGTAGAATGAGTCACTTTAAAAATATTGTATTGTCAGTACTTATTTTGAAAGAAGAATCTGTTATAAGAGATTAGAGTGACAATTTTAATGTAGGTATCCATTAGACAGCAAAGGCGGCAAAGATCTGCTCAAATTGTTTTTTATCTTTGTTCTGGCCTCCTCACATAAATTCAGATAAGTGAGAATCAAATTTATTTTCAAGCTGGAAGTATTGAGTTGGCACATTTTTCTTTCTTTATAAAGCTATGTGCCACATGTAATGTAGCAGAAAGCTTCAAAATAACTTAATTAATTTATTGCTGAATGATTTATTTTATTTGAATATTTCTTCATTTTTTGGTTGTTAAAAATCTGTCAGTTTATATATATACAGATAGACATATTAATAAATAAAAAATTCTAACTTTTATTACAAAATAGTTCCTTAAATCTCTATTTTAATTCAGTTATTTCATCTTTCTGTTTCCAAAATAAATTGCTTATAAATCACTTTAAAATGTGCCATTTCAAAATAAATCAATCTCATACAACACTATTATATAATGCTAATGATGCAGCCGCTTACGTAAGGTTGCAACCAGTAATAATTTTGAATTTAGTAAATGAAACTTTAACCAATAGAGATAAAGTTTAACTAAAACTGAATCATTGTGAAGTGGATTTTTATCTTTTACATGTTACACTCTTTCTTTCCCTTCTCTCTTGTCAACTCGCTTGCTGTCTACTGCTCGTTCTTCCATTGTAATTCATTGTTATAAAGATGTATGAAAGATGCAAATGTGGTGAAGAACAAGCACGCAGATTCCACCTAGTATGCTGTGTGATTCATATTAATATGCTTCTTAGGAATAAAAAAAAAGTTAAATATACCACTGCAACTGTAATATCTTTTATGCACTAAGCTCCATCATTCTATAAATTATACTTTCCACTGCATGAACACCTAACTAATTATTCAAGTTCTATATACAGTAGTACCTCCCAATAAGGGACACCCACTGGACCAGATGTTTTGTCCCTTCAATAGAGATGTTCCTTATTAAGAGGTAAATACATGCATAATTCAAATGGACCAGGACCAACAAGAACTGTCCGTTGTTTGGAGGTATCCCTTACAGGAGGTACTAATGTATTTTAATTTTCTTTCCTATTAGTCTGCTGTCAAGGATTTTAATATAGTTTAAAATGTATTATAACCAGTTTGGTTGTTCTCTAACTGTTTTCTCAACATTTTCTCATATACTAGATACCAAAAGTTGTAAAGATTGTGGTGTCATTTTAGAAGAGCTTGAGCGAATTGATGATGATGCAGGAAATTTTGGTGTGGCATTTGTTAAGAATAGTGAAAAATCTACAGCCAAAAAGTATGGTGTTACTTCATTTCCTGCTCTTATGTATTTCCGGAATCAACAACCTGCTATTTTTGATGGTAAGAATGAAAAATTATATAATTCATGTATTTATTTAGCTTGCATAGTTTTTGCGATATTTATAGGGATGTGAGGAAAGAAAAAAAAAATAGTAAAACTCCTTAATACTTTCAAGAACATTGAAAATAGTGAACCAAGAAGGTACCATTGGATTGAAATAAAATTTAGTATACATAATGACACAGATGAAAGATTAACTTGATTTCAAAATCAAGGTAATTAAATAAATACAGTGTGTACAATTAGACAAATACAGTGGAACTTCAGAAGCGCATCAGACCACCTCCTTCCGCAACATGGCGTGCCATTGAGTTAAATTACTCAAAGGGCCATTACGTTATGACCACCCTGTTAATAACATCTAGAACCATCTTTAGCCCTCAAAACTGCCAGCACCCGGCATGGCATTGACTCCATAAGGTCTGAGGTATCTGGTACCAAGCACTCACCAACTGATACTGCAATTTCTACACTCATTAAGGGGGTAGCGTGGCAGCACAAATTTGGTTTTCCAACTGGGACCACAAATGCTCTGTTGGATTAATGTCAGGTGAATTTGGAGGCTAAGACATGACTGGAAAGTCACTGGAATGTTCCTCGAACAACTCCCTGACGATTCGACCCTTACGACGTGGTTCATTATCCTGTTGGTAAACACCAGGGCCGGGACGAGGGTGAGGTGCACTTTTCTCAGATGGACAAATAAAAGGGGTGCCAAATTAGCTATTCAATCAAAAATTCAGAAATTTATTTTTAAAACTTATGTTTTTTAATTTTCAGACTACTTAAAGAATTTTGTGTTATAAACAACCCCCCCCCCAAAAAAAGAAAAAGAAAATGAAAAACTAATGTATTTTTTGAAAAATGTAAAACTTTAGAGATGAATATATCATCAGGATTTGAAGAGAAACAAAAAGTTAATAAATCAAATTGTGAGGAATCAATTGATATAAATTGTAGTTTTCCAGAAAAATATATTTTTGCAGAAATTAAAGAAGTGTTCAACGTTTTAATTTCACACAGTTGAAATGGCGATACGAAAAGTTAAATGAAATCTCTTTCGAATTTTCAGTTTCTAACTATTGAACAATTAATGTTATTAGATTTAAGTGATTTAAAGGCAGCAACTTATAACTTAGCACTTAAATATCCGAATGATATGAACGCTGAAGGAATTTATCCAGAAATATCTAGTTTTAAAAATCACGCTATTTTAATAATTCCGGACACAAAAGCAGCTACAAATTTAGAACTTTTAAAAATAATTCATGAATATAATTTATTTCAGTCCTATCTGAATTTGGAAGCAGCGTTAAGAATTTTTCTAACGTTGCCAGTTACTGTAGCTAGTGGCAAAAGAAACTTTAGCAAACTTAAAATAATAAAGAACTGTATGATATCTTCACTAGGCCAAGAAAAACTTTCAAACATGGCCATTCTCTCTATCGAACATGAGTTAAGTAATCAAATAGATTTTGAAAAAATTATTGATGATTTTGCTTCAAAAGCAAGAAAAATTAAATTATAAATATGCTTGAAAAGTTTATGCCATAAATTTTTGAGCAGATGTTTTATTTATACTAAATATTATTTGCCATTTTTCAAAAAGTATGTTTTTAATGTCTTCCATTTCAAAATTGTTAATCATTATAAATGTTTCACTTTATGGAATATTCAAAGTTATAATTAAATATTACTGCAAGAGTTATTGTATTTTCACATGAGATAGTTACTTTTAATGAGCATAAATTATATATATATAAATATAGTTAATTTGTTCTATATATATATATATATATATGCAATAATGCATATATGTATATATATGTAAAGAAACTGTGGTTTGAAGGTGGCAGAGTGGAAAGCATGACGCAATTTAGCACAACATATCTTGAAAAATCACTATCTTTATTTTTTCCATGCATATCAAATCATCCTTTTTCAGATAAGATACTTCCTAATTATATTTGAATAGAATAACTCCCATTTTGGAGTACGACGTCATCTTAAGCAAGTAAGTGGCAACAGAATGGATGAAATGCATCTTACCAGCAGGAGAGCTAACGCGGAAAAGGGAAAGGTTATAGCACTTTCGTAGCAAGAAGGCTGAAGTTTCAGTTCACAGTTTTGGTTTAGAATTAATTTGATTGGACGATAGGCATCTGCATTAAAACGTTACATAAGATAGAAAAGTCTGGAACCTGCGAGAAGAGATTAATTTAGGGGCAGACTACCAAATTTAGAATGTTAATTTTGAGGTCGTCAATTATTTTTTTTGAAACAGCTATCATATTTTGTTATATCTTACATATCCCCCCTTCAAAAGAAAAGTTGGGTGAGCAGGGTGGAAGAACAAGCATTAGAGCAGCAAAATGTGAAAAGTTATAACTGTGAAAATACAAAACATATTTACTTTTTTTTTTTTAACTGTGAAAATACAAAACATATTTACTTTTTTTTTTAAACAAAAAATTATTGCCATAAAACTTTGAATGATATTTTGACATTTCATTGAAAGTCATAAAATTTTGAATTGAACTATGAATCTTAGCACTGTATTATTTTCAAACAATTGCATATTTATATGTAAGATAAAAATGTATGAATCAGAATTATAATATAACTGTAAACATTAATTCTTCCTCTTTATTTTAAAATCGTAATAACTTCTCTCCATTGCGTCATTTCTAGTTCACTCTATGCCCCGCGCAGCTCTGATGACGTAATAATTCGGAACTGAAACTGTCCTTGTAAACCAAAACTTTTCTCTTCGCGTGCTTCCATCTTTCATAACGACGCACTTCAGCTTTTGCCCTCTACTGTGCTAAGATGTAATTTCGCTGGCTTGCTTTCTATCTCAACAATATCAAAAATGTAAATCTTCTGTGCAAAGGCACGACTAGAGTGCCAAGTGATTGTGGCCACAAATATCAATTGGAAATAAAAATGGAATTAAAACTGCTTCGACTGCCAAGTTCTTTAGATATTACCAAGTTAGCATTACTAGCATACTACGCAATCAAATTCTTCTTCAGTATGGGTCTAATCACGCATCTACAGTGTTCCGTCCCTTCCTTTGCTTTTATCATGACATATATTGCCCATGTTTGTATAATGTTATGTTTTAAAACATCATTTAGTATTATTTATTTATTCTTCCCCCACACAAATAGGTAAATAAATAATCTTGCATTGTATACAGGGGTGCTCATTTATCGCTTTGCCTCAGGTGAAAAAATATGTTGGCACGGCTCTGGTAAACACCATCCCTCATCGGAAATACTGTTGTCATGAATGGGTGAACCTGGTCTGCAACGATGTTCCCATATTGCACAGATGTCAGGGATTGTTCTATGGTGATTATGGGCCCTAATGTGTTTTATGAAAACATTGCCCACACCATAATACCCTCATGACCGGCTTGTCACTGTCCAACTGTGCATTCAGAAGCTAGGGTTTCATTTGAAAATTGGCGTATTGACATACGACCGTCGATGTAATGGACCAGAAAACATGATTTGGCAGACCATGCAAATTTCTTCCGTTTTTTTTTAATGTCCAATTGCGATATTTCTTGGCCCATTGCAGATGCAGCTGGTGATGATGTGCAGTCAGTGCAGGAACATGCTCTGGCCTCCCCCTGGCCATATGCAGCAATGTATGTTGCACAGTGCGTTGAGAAACACTCTGGGTCACCACTGTTGTAGCTGGTGGTGATTTCGTCTGTTGTAGCTGGTGGTGATTTCATCTGTTGTAGCTCTCTGGTCATGGCGAACAAACAGTGCATAGAAATTTCTGCTCTCCTCCGAAATCAGTACACCATTGACGAAACATTGCTGGCCAGTGACTTGTCATTTCACCATTCATACACTACTTTTGATATGTGCTTACAACAACTGCACGTGAACAACCCCACTAAACACACACACTGTTTCAGATATTGATTTTCCCAATCGCCAAGCCATAGCGTTTTGACCTTTATCAAAGTATGATAAATCAGCTGCTTTTCCCATTATGTTGCTTATAATCTCCAACATCAGCCACACATGCACAGTGGTTTTATTCCTGGGTGAGCCCATTGTTATCGATAGAGGGTAGTCATAATGTAATGGTTCTTCGGTGTAGATGTCTGATGTTGTCCTGAGGCAGATGAGTCACAACCACCTTTAAATCATGTGCAGAGTAATATGGTGGCATCTGACATTTCAGCTGGTTCCACACATGCTCTATAGGGGACAAGTCCAGAGAGTTGTACCAGCCATGGAAGAGTTTGAACATGATGTAAGAAGTTTTGAGCAGCTCGAGGTGTATCATGTTCCACATCGGTTGAAGAATGTCATAAACATAACATTGGCCCATTAAGGTTCCATGTAACACAATTAGAGTGGACCAGCTATCATTGGCTAATGGCGCAGGCAGTGTGCGCACAACGGCGTGGGTAGAATTGTACTGTTGACCGGGGTGCCTCCACACCCATATGCGGTTATCATCTGTTCCCAAAATGAACTGAGATTCATCATAAAACCCCATGTTTTGCCAATCTGTAGCATTACTTATTGCTCTGGCTTGGCACCACAGCAGACAAAGTTGTCGGTATTTTTTTGTTAAAAGTAGTACAGAAAAGGGTGCTTGGATTGCACATTCGCATACAAGGCATCTGGAAGTGGTTTATGGAACACCTCTACATCTAATTGTATTGTGAAACAAGTCACCGTGTCATCCATGAGCTCTTGCTTCACGATATTTCAATCCTCTTGCCTCATTGTCTTCTTCATCACTCCTGATCCAGTTTTCCTTCCGCTTGTGGGTACCATCTCATGTCCATTGCTTCTAGCATGTTTTGATGGCACTTTGTGAACAATCAACCTGTCGAGCAACATGGGTGGGTGCATTGTCCGGCATGCAGTTTTCATGCTGATGACCAGTCTCATCTTAAACTTGCTTATTTGGGAGAAATGTCTTCTTGTACATTACCTGGCATACTTCACTTACTTCACAAAGTCCTCCTAGAGTCAGACTGTATTCGATACATTTATAAATCACCTACATGTTGGTTTATATAGGGTGATTGCAGTGGCATTGCAGCGTATGTAGTCATGTGCATTGGCACCAAACTTGGATCATTTGCATATCGAATCTCATTATACTTAATGTATAATGGTGATTGTACCTTTCTTTCTTTTTGGTGTGCTGTTTTTGATGATTCTGAGTGTATGTCCTAAATCTTTTTATAATTATTTGTTATGCTAATTTTCCTAGAACTGCTTATCTTCTTAACTTGGCTTTTGTCTTATATTTATAATAGAATTGCTGAAATTTTATTCTTTTTAACTTATCAATAAAGGTACACTGATAATGTTTAAATGCATTTTCCCCTTCATTTTCCAGGTGACTTGAAAGATGAAGAGAAAGTACTTGCTTGGTTAACTGATTTGGATTCAATGGAACTGCCTGATAAAATAGAAGAAGTGAATGCAAAAATTCTTGAAAATCTGATAGAAGATAGTGATTTCCTGGCAGTTTTGATCTGTGAGATGATAAGCATTTTTTTCCATGTGTAATAAGCATTTCTAATAATGTTATAACAGTCTATACAATTTCTTCAATTTCTTGCAAAGACCTTTTCCATTTTGAATAATATTATTTAGTAAAAAGTAATATTAAAGTTGAACTTAAAAATTTCTTTTATAAACAGCAATGTACTATATATAAGATTTAAATATGAATACAATTATTTTTACTTTCATGTAAACATTCTTTATCCTTTAATCAGGTAAAATATTTGTGTAATTCACTAATTCAAAAAATCTCTGCTTCCAACAGTTCTTCATATTTTGAAGGTATGCATTTTTTCAGCTATATAGTATTCACTTTCCAGAACTTTGCTTTAAAATAGTTAATAAGCATACAAATGTTGGTAAAATATCCCAATATTTTGTTTAAAGTTCCATTTAGTTTCATAATGCGTTTTTTTAGAGCAATTGTGTAAAAAAATATTTCCCATATTTTTTTCCACAAGTTTCTTTTAAAGTGCTCGTAATGTAATTTAATTTAAACCTGTTACTACTATCAGGCGTTTTAAATATATTTAATATTCTTCAATGAATCTAATGAAACATTTTAATATTTTAACTAAAATGTAAATGATGTATTAGCAATATAATTATATTATAAAAGAATTTTTAAATATAAATAATTTTTAATAATAAGTTTAATAATAATAACTATACTATGATTTTAAATAATAATTGTACAAGTTTCTACTTGCATTTTTTATGTAAAGATTTGCAAGCATTATCTAATTCTGTGACTGCTCTCAATCATTTAAGCATGAAGCATGGCTGTGTGTTTGTGATGCATGATTCAAAAATGTTAACCATGACCTCCAGTTGGAATTCTGCATGCTGTGTCATCAGTATATTGAACTTCTAGCTTTACTGACAGCAAAAGGAAATATTTTTTAAGGTTTGTATAACTCAATAATAATGATCTTGAATTGTGCACTTTTTATATTGACATTTCTGTGACATAGTATTTGAAAGTAGAAATGGTATATTTTTAATTATATTGAACAATAAACTCTGAGTCATTTTTAGGCATTAATTGGGTTATAGATATTTTATATTTATATAGTATTTGAACGTATAAATGGTATATTTGTAATTATATTGAACAATAAACTGCAAGTCATTTTTAGGCATTAATAGGGTTATAGAATATTTTATATTTATATTTTTAATGAAAATTTTCTGTATATATTAATCTAAATCTGTATTCCAGAAAGTTTTATGCAGATGGTGTGACATGGTTTTATTTATATTTGTAATTAGATCATCAATGTATGTTAAATCATCATTTTAATTTCAAATATATCATGAGCATTTATAAGCTTTTTAAATACCACTAAGCTCTTCATTTTTAAATATCAAGAGCAATCAGTTTCCAAGTGCCTGAAAGTGGAATATTCAATTTTTATCCTACATTTGGTTCTGAGCCACTGATTGAGCTCTGACTTGAATTTATAAATCTTGATATCTCATATAAATGCAAGCCTGTTTTCCCTTCAGAGTCCTTCACAAAGGCACCTGCTCCTAAGCAACTAGCCCTTAAGTTTAAAATTGGGCCAAAAAGCAACCTTAATTTGTCATAGAACTCTGTCGATTTCAAAGGTGATTCGATACAGGTTTTTGCAGATTGTCCCCTTCTCTTTTTAACCTGTATCTAGTCATCCTTGAAGTCAGTAGAATTTTGTTTAAAATGTATAGCAAACTAAGGTTTTTTTTTTTTTTTTTTAACTGAACTTGCATAAATAATTGAGCTTTAAAGAAAACTTTAAAGTACTCGGAAGTGTTTTAGCATTTTGTTCTTAATCTCTGTGTTATGTATTTTAAATATTTTCATATTAAAAAACTTTAATACATATTTTGCTCAAAACATAGGACTAGATATGATTAACTATGGTAGTGTATATTAGGGCTATCTGTCTAACAGCAAGCTTGCCTTTGTAGAGAATTTTCTAAGAGAAACTAGCCCATATTTATGTTACACATAGAGGAAACCATGACAATACTATGCAGCCAGCCCTTTGAACTACCAGGAACGGAACCAAGAAGCAGACTGCAAGCATTTTCTATCTTTAATCATTTGACCACTAATTAAGTATTGCATCAAAGCTTAAGTGGGAAATGCATCACAAAATAATTTGTTAATATATATTTGTATAGGTATGACACATTTACAGGGCCGGTTCTAGAACTGGAGCAAACAGTATGGCTGCCCCGGGCAGGAGAATTTAGGGTTGGTACATATGTTTTTAATTTAGAGAAGCACAAAATAGCAAAATTCAGGAATAGCAAAATTTTTAGAATTCAGAGGAAGCGCTAAGCAGCAGAATTTAGAACATGCAGATATTGCATTGGAGGCTGAAATGCCTAGCATAACCTTTTATACACACATTTAGATATATACTGGTGTCAGAAAAAACTGTGATGGACAATTCTTTTAAGAATATATAGCAGTATACATAGCAGCGTACTGATTCTGACATGTGATTTAATTTGAAAGCTGTTTAAACATAGATTTGCAAAAGAGCAAAAGCCTGATTAGGAAATGCAGATACTGTATTCATCATGATTTAAGAAAGTTTCTACAAGATACAGTGCTTGTGTGATAGGTAAAACTTTTTTGGAGTTACCAGAAGCATTTATAAATTAGATTGTTTCATTTGTATACCTCAAATACAGGAATTCAGTTAAATCCCTGAATGTACGGTAGCATTTGGGAGATGTTGATAGGGCCTGATTCCACAAGGTGAAGTAGAGAATATTCTCTGAGCGTGCACTTAAGAGACAATCCCTAAGCTTCAGATAATATTAAAATTATGGGTACTGTTCTGTTATCAGGACCAGATTCTGAAATGTATGTGTGTATCCATATATGTATTGATGTATGTATTCCATGTATGCATATATATATATGTAGGCACTAATGTATGTGTGTGTGTGTACATATATGCATATATGCACACACATACACATGTGCATACATGCATACATTTCTGCATCCGGTCCCAATAATGGGGCAGTACCAAATTATGTAAACTTTTACATATATTTTCAGTCCTAGAACATCTAATATATTGATAAAATTAGGGGTGTGTCATTGATCCTACGTACAGTCTATACATAGGATAATTTAATAATTTAAGTGATAGTTCCTGAATGGATTTGTCATATTTGAATTCACAATAATAAAGAAAAATGTTTAGAATTACAAACATCAAGCAGCAAACATTTTATTGTTATCTATGCTTGCTGCCCTTCTAGAGAAACTAAACTTTGCAACAACAAAGATAATATTATATGTAGAGAGTTGCTATATCTCTCCTTCCCCATTAACAACATAGTTACAGTGTAATTTCTGTGATAAATTTTAGTGTATATGCAATGAGTATAGATGTAAAAGGGAAATATATACAGTCAAAAGTCGTTAATCCGGACTCGTCGGGACTTCGGCGATTCCGGATTATTGATTTTTCCGGATTATAGATCATCAGTTTAAATCTCGTAAGATGGCATGCAGAAATTCTAAAATTAAAAATATGAAACCGTAATTTATGAAATCAATTATTATCTAAAGGGTATCAAAATTTACAAAAAAAAAAGCTTAATATTTATTTGTTTACTTTATTAAACATTTCTTTCAATGTAAGTTGTTTAAGTTGCTTCGTTTTATGTGATAATAATTTCTCTTTAATTCTATAAACAGACATAATTTCTTGTTCAGTTACGAAGTTCCGCTGTTCAAGACCCGTAATTGCTGTGCCGAGAATACCGACTAACTTGTCAATCGAAATTTTTCCGTTTTCACTAACCTCTCTGGTCACCTTCTTCATGTCATTTTTTGCAGCAATTCCACTTTTTGTTTGATGGACATCAAAACATACTTTCGTTTTGTAGATCGTTTGGGAGCTCCAGCATCGAAAATTCTATTTGATATAATCGAAAGTTCAAGTTTACTTTTATAGTATTGCTCTTACAGTCTGCAAAAAATAATAAGCCGGATCCAATTCGAAAATTAAGGAACTGCACAATCATCAACATTAACTGAAATAGATAATTAGATACTTTTAGCTTATTCCGTTTGTTATACATAAAACGCGCATGCGAAAACGTATTCTACACTTGCGCAGACGTAAAAGGTCTTACGCACACGCGTAATCGCCTATCCGCATGTGTCAACGCGGCGCATGCGCAGAAAGTTTTTAGCTTTGAGGTCCGGATTATAGATCATTCCGGATTATGGGTGTCCGAATTAACGACTTTTGACTGTATAGTATACATATGATATTATTATGAAATAACAATAATGAATAGCATGTAATTAATCTTTGTAACACACTGCAAACCTGAAATGTCTACCAGAGCATCAAGTTTTCTTTCTGAATATGTTTATCCGATAAATCTAATTGTTGTTTTTCAGTTTCTTGATGTGCAATCAGATTTGTGCTAGGCAGTGTTTGTGCACTATCTGGAGCATTCACTTCTTAACAGCAAATATGCTGTTTTTAATCTGTCTACAGATATATTGGCATTCTTTCCTTTCATAGTCACAGTAAAATATTTGTCATGTCTTTACACAACTGAAAAAGGTTCATCATAAGGAAGTTCTAATAGTTTTCGAACTCTATCAATTATGCGAGTATTATTATTATTGTCTACAATTATGCAAGTCCTTATGGACAAAAACTTTTTTAGACAGATGTCAGCAAATTTTTAATGGTTTTAAGAGTTCCTTTTGTGTGTATAGTTTTTGGCAAACATCTTAATATCCAAGATGCGTTTTGGTTTCTCAAAAAATTTTCCTGGTAACCTTATAAGGTATTTTCTCTGCCTTCTTAGTATGTCTTCGTGCTGTAGTGGTCAGCACATGCAGTGCATATTTGATAGGTCTTTGGTTCGAGTCCTGGCAAGGGCATTGCTCATTTTTCATCTCTCCTGCTTTCAAAAAATACCTAATGTCTCTACAAC